GTGTGGCTTGTTATATGAATAGATAGTTCGGAAGATAGATACGTAGGTTGGTAGATAAATAGGTAGGTATGTACATAATACAGCTATAGAATGATACATACATACATACATTACGAGAGAGCCATAGTTTTGAGCTGAAAGATAGAAACAGCGAACTGAACTTATCGTCTTGACAGCCGCTAAACTCCACTTAAATTCCACCTGAATTCCACCTACTGCCCAGACCTGACGAGTGTAGAGCGGCCTGCTTTAAAGGGGACACGAAATAAGGCCAAGGGAACACGAGGAGCTGGTGCTGATGTTGACATTTATATCACACTCACACATACATACGCACACATACACACACACACACACGCGAGCGCATACACACACACATACACACACACACACACACACATACACACGCACACACACACACACACACGCGCACACACACACACACACGCACACACACACGCACACACACACACACACACACACACATACACACGCACACACACACACACACACACACACACACACACACATATATATATATATATATATATATATATATATATATATATATATATATATATGATGTGTATGTGTGTCTGTGTGTAGGTATGCATGAACATATGTATATTTACAGACACACATCGTCCATAACTTAAAAGGAAATCCAGCGAGCACTGGTGAACACCCCCCACTCACCCACCCCCGTTCCCGGCCTCCCCCTCCCTTCCAATCCCTACCCCTATTTACCCTCACTTCTCTTCCCCTTCCCTCTTTCCTTCACCTTCTCCCCATCCCTCTCCCTCCCTTCCCCATCCCCCCTTTCCTCTCCCTTCCCTTTCCTCCCATCTCATTCCCTTACCTTCTATCATTTCCTCCCCTCATTCCTCCTTACCTCCCTCATTTTCTCACTGCCCCTCCCACTCCCCGATCCTCCCTCCCTCACCCCCCTCTCCCTCCTTCCTCTTCCTCCTCCCTCCTTCCCTTTCCCTCCTTTCCTCTCCATCCCCTTCCCACTCCCCCATCCTCCCTCCTCCCCATCCCTTCCCTCCTCCCTCTTCCCTCCTCCCTCCTCCCCCTTTCTCTACCCTCCCCCATCCTCCCTCACACCCCCTCCCTTCCCTCCTCCCTCTTCCCTCCTCCCTCCTCCCCCCTCCTCCCAACCCCCCATCCTCCCTCACACACACACACCCATCCCTCCTCCCTCCTCCCCCTTCTTCTACCCTCCCCTCATCCTCCCTCACAACCCCCATCCCTCACCCCTCCTCCCACCTCCCTCCTCCTTCCCTCCTCCATCCTCCCCCCTCCCCCATCCCCCCCTCCTCCTTCCTAGTTTTCCCCTCGCCCCCCCCCCCCCCCCCCGAGTTTCCAAGAGGACATCAGGGCGAAGGGGAGAAGGCAGGGCGATGGCATCCAGGCACTCATGGGCGACGATACTCACGAGAAGAGGCGAAGGGTAGACGGCTTCCTCATTTTCTTAAAAGGAATAACTCATCCTATTTACGAGTGGGAGGGGAAGGGGAGGGGAGGAGGGGAGGGGAAAGGAAGGGGAAGAGGAGGGGAGGGGAGGGGAAGGGAAGGGGTGGAGAAGAGGGAAGGGAAGGGGTGGAGAAGAGGGGAAGGGAAGGGGAGGAGGAGAGGAGGAGAGGAGGGGAGGGGAAGGGGTGGGGAGTAGGAGAGAGGAGGGGAGGGGAGGGGAAGGAGAGGAGGGGAGGGGAAGGGGAGGAGGAGAGGAGGGGAGGGTGCTTGGGAGAGAAGGAAGGAAGGAAGGAAGGAAAGTGGGAAGGAGGCAGGGAAGAATAGGGAAGAAGAGAAAGAAAGGAAGAAAGGAAGGAAGGGAGGAAGGAGGGAAGGAGGGAAGGAAGGGAGGAAGGAGGAGGGAATAAGGAAGGAAAGAAAGAAAGAAGAAAGGAAGGAGAGAATTGGGGAAGGAGGCAGGGAAGAATAAGGAAGAAGAGAAAGAAAGAAGCAAGGAAGAGGCTTAGAAGAAGGAGGAAAAGAAAGAAAGACGGGAGGAAGAAGGGTAGGAGGCATAGAAAAATAAAGTAATAAAAACAAGAAGAAAAGAGGGAAGGAGGCATGGAAGAATAAAGAAGAAGAGATATAAAGAAGAAAGGAAGGAAGGATGGAAGGAAGTTTGGAAGAATAAGGAAGAAGAGAAAGAAAGAAGAAAAGGAGGAAGGAAGGATGGAGGGAAAGAGGCTTGAAAGAATAAGGAAGAAGAGAAAGAAAGATGGGAAGAAGGCAGGGAAGAATAAAGAGAAAGAAAGGAGAGAAGGAGGTATGGAAAAGTAAGAAAGAAGACAAAGAGAGAAGAATAGAAGGAAGGAAGGAAGTAGGGAGGGATGGAAGGAGGAAGAGGATAAAGAAAAGTAGGGAGGAAAGGAAGTAAGGAAGCAGGCATAAAAAAAATAAAGATAAGGAAGAAGTAAGGAAGACAAGAAAGAAGGAAGGAAGGATGGAAGGAGACATGGAAAGAAATACTGAAGCAGAGAAAGAGAGA